CCGGCATTTTTTAGAAACTTTTTCACTTTTGGAACTTCCATTCAAGCAAGACTACACGCCACACGCCACTTTTCTATGCTCCACCAGCCAGAATTAAAGTACTCTGCATGAGTTTGAAACATACCGGCCCAGGAATATGGGAGACGATTCCACAAGAAATTAAAGATTGTAACACTTTGCATCTTTTTAAAAATAAACTGAAAAATTTTTTAATTACGAAAAGTTCTGTTTCTCAAGGATAATAATGTATATGTATATATATGTATATAAGTGTGTACATATTTCATTAACATTGATACATTTTCTCCTATTGACAATTTTATTTTATCATTGAGAAGCAATTTTGAGCTGCACGGTGGCCGAGCCCACAAGAATTAATTTTCTTTTTTTGGTCTCCGAATCATTCATGCTTTTGTTTTGTTTGATTGAATAAAAGTGATTTGATTTGATTTGATACATACAGGTTGCCCACACGGTCGACGGCCGCATCGGTCTCCGGTGATCCTTTCGACCTGGATTACTCTGGTGTTTTTGACAAGCTGACGGCCGTGCTGAAATGTGTACCGGTGTACAACCATATCCCTAAGCCATGCAGGGAGAAGTTCGCACATGATCTGAACGCCTTGCTGACGGCTGTTTGTAATGACCCTGGTGACCCGGCTCACTGGGTTAGACTCCACTGTTTTGTCTCATACGTCTTACAGAAGACTTCCATAGGGGGTCGCCAGGTCAACCAGGGCAATCTGGTCAACAAGCGTCTAAGCGAATATTCAACTTTTGGTCTTGAAACCCTGGTACTGTGCTTTGATGGGTTCAATAATGCCAAATCACAAAAGCAAAACTCCGATCGGTGGATCAACGCTGTGTCATCTTGTATTGAACAGGGAAACCTGTCCTCGGCTGTCAGACTTGACTGTTTGCCGGAGGGCCTGGCGGAAAGCTCGCCAGCCACTTTCGATAAATTATGTTCCATCCACCCAAAAATTTCGGTGGACAGGCGTTAAATCGTTCAAAAACGGTTCTTCTGGAGGCCTGGATGGCCTACGACCCCAGCACCTTAAGGATGTTTTTTCAGGCCCCTTGCCAATCGACGACACACTGAACTCCTTAACCCAATTCATTAATTTGATCCTATCTGGAGCTTGCCCACTCTCCGTCCGCCGGTTCTTTTTTGGAGGCCGGCTAATAGTTTTAAATAAGAAAGACGGAGGGGTCAGACCGATTGCGGTCGGGAACGTTTGGAAGAGGTTGGCCGGCAAATGTGCCTTGACCCTGGTCGTGGTCAAACTCAAGACCAAATTCTACCCGACTCAGTTGGGTGTCGGGATTAAGGGTGGTGCTGAGGCCACTGTTCATGCGGTTCGAAGATTGGTCACCGACCTCCCCGATCAATGGGGGTTTCTGAAACTGGACTTTAAAAATGCCTTCATGTGCAATTAACGACAAATCAAAGTGTTAATCCATTTGTTACTTGATGTTTGACGGTTCAGTGTCACTCATCATGTTTTGGTTTTAACATAGATACATACATACATACATACATATATACATACATACATACATACATACATACATACATACATACATACATACATACATACTTACTTACATACATACATACATACTAACATACATACATGCATGCATGCATGCATACATACATACATACATACATACATACATACATACATACATACATACATACATACATTCATTCATTCATAATACATTCATAAAATCGTACCCACCTCTTAACTTACAAATATAATTACGTAGAAACATGTAGCGAGTATACACGAAGGCTATATAAATAAATGAAATAAAAATTGAATCAAGTGCTTGTACGTACAACGACGATCTCAAATCAGTCTTGCATGTGATTTCATTTTTACAATGTTTCAATATAAATTTTATTAGTTGAATAAATCTTCCTTATTTTTCATGCATTAAAAAATTTCTACTAATAGTTTAAACTTTTCGTAAAAAATAATTTTATTTAAATTTTCCAAAAGTTTAAATGGATAAAATAATTTCAATTGTGTTTTATCGACAACTTTTCGTAAATAAATAATTTTATTTAAAATTTCCAAAAGTAAAAATGGGTGAAATAATTGCAATTGTGTATTATCGAAAACATTTGCCTTTGAAAATTAGATACACATATGGGCTATGCGAATTTCAATGTATAATAGAATCGTGCCATGATCATGGAGAAACTTTTTCAACACTACCAGATTCAGCAAAGTTTCATAAATTTAGCTATAAACAAAAATTATGGATGAAAGTATTATGATAAGAACAACTATAAATTTCATATTTCATATTTCGTGAGGATTGTTTAAATTGGGCCCGAACGATTGTGATAAAATAAATTATGTTGATAATTTATATAATTTAGATCATGAACAAGCCAGTAAAAATTAGTTTATAGAGAGTTAACTCCAAAACTTGGCATGACCATCAAAAAAGGTTTGCCAAACCTAATTTTTGTATGTAACGTCAAATTTGAAAATTAAAAAAAATTTGGTTTTCATGTCTAGACGTGCCATTGAATTGAGTTAGGGCAATTGTGGTTGTTCTGCAACCAAACGGACTTCTCCGACCAAGAAAAAAGCCGAGCACTGTTATTTGGTTTGCTGTCAAGTGACGACAGGACGTCATAGGAGGGGTGGAAGTTTAGAGAAAACAACAAAATTGGGGCATGTAATTATTTCAATCACTTTTGTATTTTTAAAATCAATGAAAAATGATTGATTTTTATAATTTTGTAATTTTCTTTCCTATTTTTTTTTACAAACACCAGGGTTTCATACAAGGCTGAACAGGAAACAAATTATTTTGAAAAATAAAATTACACTATCTTCCTTGGAGTTATAAAAAAATCTTAAAAATAACTTGAATTAGTTAATTTAAAAAAAAACCCATTAATAAAATCTCATGAAGCTTAAATATAATATTAATTCCTCATACCATCAAACCATCCTTAAATAGTGTAATTGTCTTGCTACCCAAAAATCTTATAACATCGAAATATTTTATAACTTAGCATAATATCATAATATGGCAGGCAATCAAATGACTAACATTAAAAAGAAAGATTATCTACCAATTATAAAAAAAATTTAAATAATTTCAATTGAAGCTCGCGTTATGACAAATTATCTTGAAATATACTTATATATCTATATATGTATATTCTCTCTCTCTCTCTCTCTCTCTCTCTCTATATATATATATATATATATATATATATATATATATATATATCAACTTAACAAGTTTTTAAAAAATATATGCTTCAGTTCAATATTTTGTATCATTCATTTATAATATATAATATTAATTGTGTTTATGTTCTCAATGTTTTTAAACTAGTTAAACGCCAATTTATTTTTTTAACTTATGTATAAATTTTCCATACGTTTCATAGTTCATTGTTGAAATAAAAACGTTAATTGCGATGATGGGAATAAGGGAAGATTGTTTAAAGTTCCAGAATGATTTCGGTGTACTTGAATGTCAGTACAGAATATTCATAATGCTTTCGTAAACAAAAATTGCTAAAATTATACAACTTAAACTAACTAAAAAACTAACTCAATATTGTTTTTGGATAAAAGACTGAAACTTCACAAATCATATTTTGAAAATTTTGTAATTGTGATTTGTTAACCGCTGGAAAATTTATGAAGTTTGGTTATGGATTCGTCGACTGCTGCAGCAACATCCGTGTCGTCGTTAGATGTTGTATTCGATAATCACAAAATCAAAAAAGCTGGCGTCACATCATATTTTAAAAATTTAAGATTAGAAAAAAGAGAAAAAAAATTAAGACAAGAAAACTTTACGTACACGAATTTGTTTCTGAAACTCAAGGAAGAGTATCAGTCGAAGTGCAGTGAACACATAAAAGCAGATGAAATGACAATTGATCATTTTTCAAATAAAAAAACAATCGGCAAAGGTGCGTTTGGAACTGTTAAAATCGGAAGACATAAGCAGACCGGTAATGTTTTTGCTATCAAAATACTTGAAAAAAAGAAAATTATTGAATCTAAGTTTCTGAAGCATACCATTCAAGAGAAACAAATTCTGCGTACTATCAATCAACCATTCATTTTGAAAGCCACCTATCACTTCTGGGACAGTCTCCATTTATATCTGGCCACTGAATTTTGCGCTGGGGGAGACCTTCACACATTGTTCAATCGCAATAAAAATTTCAAAGAAAATCATTGCATGTTTTACGGCGCCCATATAGTTCTGGCTTTGGAGTTTCTACACAGCATCAAGATCATATATCGTGATTTGAAGTTGGATAACCTTCTCGTAAATAATGACGGTTATTTGAAGCTAGTTGATTTCGGAATCTCAAAAAAAGTTGAAAACACGACAAATTCCTACTGCGGTACGCCCAGCTACATAGCGCCAGAGATGATCAATCAAAATGATTACAACTGCTCTGTTGACTGGTGGTCATTTGGAGTTGTCTTGTATAAAATGGGAAGTGGAAAGAGGCCATTCAAAGGAAAATCCGTCAATGAAATTTTTAAAAATATTATAAATAATGAAATAGAAATGCCAGAGTCTTTCAGTAAAACGTTTGCCGATTTGGTAGGAAAACCTTTGGTGAAAGATCCTTCAAACAGAATTGGATGCAGGGAATATGGGACAGATTAAATTAAAACACATCCATGGTTCATTAATTTAAATTGGTTGAAACTGTTCGAAAAACAGATCAAACCACCATACATTTCATCTCTGAAAGACGACATGGATACATCGAACTTTGGAAATTATTTTGAATACGGAATCGATAGAAAGGATACGTGTATCTTTTATGATGAATTTAAAGATTTCTACTAAACAGGTCATGGAGTCGATTGAAGTTTCAGAAGTGTCCGCAGTTTCAACTGCTACATCTCTCATAATTCTATCTAGAGTATTTCTTGTTGAATTGATGCTAAACATTTCACTTAGTAAAAAGAAAACATTTTTAGATACATTTCAGCTAATTTTTTCAAACGGTTTGATGTCTTTTATTTTTATCTTGATCGACTTTCAAAATCTTTTTGTTTTTATTCAAAATTTTAAATATTCTGATTATATCAAATTGTTTTATTTTAAAAAATAGATTTTGCATAATTGTAGTAAAAGAGCAAATTGAAAATATAGAATGAAGTAATTAATTCTATATACGTATAACAATAATTTTCTCGCTAACTCAACACATGATATTCACGCCAGAGTTGGTTTAATTGAAGTATTTAATAAGTCAATACAACGAAAACACTAAAGATAAAATTGTTTCAAATGAAATATTAACTAATTAAATAAATAAATTCACATAGTGTTGAAGAGAATTACGTTCAATTGATGATATTAAATAACAAGTCAGGTTTTTTTAACTTATTGCATACAATGTTGAACGATTTACGTAGTTGTTTTTCTTTTTTAAACTTGCATTAATTAATTCTTGCATTTATTTTGCAGTAACAAGCATTTGCATAGAGAAAATTTTTCTCTTGCAAGACGTATTTAATTGCTGGCTCTTCAATATCCTTCATTGATTCAAATGAATTGATTTGTTCTAATCAGTGCTCCATCTAAAATGGAATGGCTGTTTATTTTTTAGTTTCATCTCCCTTTTATATTGCCGTTATGTTTCAGCTGTCAAAATGAAAATGTCAGTAAATGTTGAGCAAGCTTGTTGTCGTTGAATGAAATTTTTTTTATTTATATGGTTGTTGTTGTTTAGGCAAGAAACAATTTTTAATATTTTTTAGCTTCTGAACCAATTTTCTCAAAACTTTATTGAAATAACAATAATTATCGAAAACAACATTTCCTTGAAACCGAACATTTTATAAACGCACCATGTCTTGCCTGACATGAACAAATTGAACAACATGAGCGACATGTTTTCAAGAAAAGTTTGAAGAATCATTTTATTGACGTTCTCAAGTGGAGCTAGCGCTTCTGAAGTTATTCAATAGGGGCGTTCCACAAATCCTTGGATACAGAATCCTTGGATACAGAAGTTGTAAAAGAGAGAGAGAGAGAGAGAGAGAGAGAGAGAGAGAGAGAGAGAGAGAGAGAAGAGAGAAATTAAATGTCCGATAATCGATGGCTCATTGCGAAGAAGAAAAATTCAGTTATCTGTATTTGAAGTTGGTGTTGATGTTTTGTTGCTGATGTCTTTTGATGTTGTGGCTGATATATTATGGTGTCTCCTTGATGTTGTGGTTGTTGATTTTGTTGTTGATGTCTTTTGATGTTGTGGTTGATGTTTTATAGCGTTAATATTTTGTTGTTGATATATTTTTGGTGTTCTCGATGATGTTTTGATGTCTTTTGGTTAATGTATTTTTTATTATTTTTTTTCGTTTTAATCTGTTTTTTATGTTTTGTTGATGTGGTTAATGTATGTTGTTGTTTGGCTCTGTTATTTTTTGTTAGTTGCTATTTTCTTGGTTAGTATGAGGAGGTTAAAAAAGTTAATGTTGTTATCTCACTAATGAATGTTGATGTAGTTTGTTCTCCATTCTTAGATTTTGTGTTTGCGCATACAAGGGGGAGTTAATGTTGATATTTAGTCAATTTTCAATTTTTTCCGGTCTTTGATGTGAATGTTTTTGAGGAAATGTTGAATAATTTGTTGCATTTTTGTATTGATGTTGATATGGTTCAGTTGGTTCTCTCGTTTGAAAAAAATACTCGCCTTCGCGTTAAAGTTTTAATGGTCATTATATAATCTTTATCAGTAGTTAATTCATATAAATGGGTTTCTTTTTTACGGCATTATTTAGACTGCGCTGCTATTTTTTTTTTGGTACAAAAATATCCGATAAAAATCATAAAAATATTTTACAATCGTGAAACACGGCACCAAGCTGCTTCAAGCTTTGAAATATTGACTCGTTGACACGCGTCATATGGAAAATTGTTTTCTCTTTTCCTTTGCGCGAATAATTCATCCAAATAATACATAGTTAAACTTCATTGAAACGGACGCGAAAAAATTGAAAAATCTAAAAATATATACANCTAGACACGAACTCGTGACTTTTAAACCTACTCAGACATAAATTTAAACATTTTACAATCCTAAATTAACAAATAAACATGAAACAAACATAAATAAACAAGGAGTTAACAAAACAAAAAACACAGAAAACAAGACAAAACAATGAATATCATTAGCGTACAAATTAGTTTTAAATTACTTTAAAGGAAGATGCATTGTGCAATGATTTTATTATTAAAACTAATTGTCCACACAATAGCGAGCAGGGAAAACAGTCGATTGAAAGCGAGGGATAGATGTAGGTTTAAACAGACAAACAAACAAATATACAAACAAATATACAAACAAACTAACAAACATACAAACATTTTAGATGTATTCATAAAAATTTATTATTTAGCTTTTTCAGTTAAGTTCTTTAAATTTTATGATTTCATTTTCCATGTTACTCACAAAAATTCAAATAAAATATTTGATTTTATTATATTAAAAATTAATTAATGTTTTTTTTCATGCTTTTATGGAAAACTACCTCAGCTAAACACTCCTTAATATGATGCCAGTTTAAATCCTCTTGGAGTTTCACATTCCGACAAACACAATCTAAGATGGTTGTGATTGATGAAACGATTTGAGCGCATTTAACTACTTTTCACCGCCTCCACAAAATCGTCGCACTGCAACATTTATTTACAGATTACATTATTAACACTACAGAATATGACATCACATCGATATACTTTACATCACATTATATTACATCAAATCACATTACATCATTGCGCAAACGACGTTTAGTAACTGAGAATTTGTTACCAAATAATAACATTCATTCACCTAATATTATTACATACTATGTAAGGTGAGACCATATTTTTTGAGTAATCTAAGTTACGTTACGTCAATTTTATGTTAATTTTATTTTAAATTTCATAAAATTTTACATTTAACTTGTTTGAATCTCATATTTTTCAATCTGAACTTCCATGATTCGCTTGTCAGATTGATACACAATGAATCATCTGACCAACTGTGAATTGTATTGAAAACTAGCATGAACTCTAAACATTTATCGTAACAGCATTCGAAAATCCGTTGACCAATTTAAACACATTCATCAAAATGACATAAAAAAATTGCATCACGTTACATCACATCACATGCCAACATCATATAGGGTTACATCAAACCTCCTACTCACCTTAATACAAATGATGATGCTACACAACAAAATCCTCGGATTTACAGTTTACAAATGGCTGAATTTATCAACTCACTCTTGCAGTCAAACGCTACAGAAGCCGCCACACGTGCGGCGTAATGTATTTCATGAGCAATATTTTATTCACTGGTAATTTATTTGTTTTCTTGGAAAACCGGCAAAAATGAAGTATTGGGCTTAGACACGTTTTAAACTCCAATTAATCATGGAAAGACTTGCCTTGGATGGACTAATGATACAACTGCGCTGATGCTGCTGCTGCTACCACACCTACTACTCCTACTTTTACTACCTTCTTATTACTAAGAATTACTTCAGAGCGTATTTTGACACTGTTACTTAAAATTAATTTCAATATGTTATGTTCCTTGTTTGTAAACTGTTACAGGGTTTGGTTTTGTATTTGCAGGTTTGTGTAAGTTGGGACATTTTAATAAATGAATTGTCACTGTGATACGATTAAATATACATTTGTATTTGCTAATGAACATTCTTGGATATATCTGTAGGGGCGAAGAACAAAAATGAAACTTTTGAATTTATGATGCTTTTCATATATAATTTATCATTTCTTGTAGAATTGAAAAAAAATACAAAAAAAATTATTTATCGCAAAACAATCACATCTAGCATTACAATTAACATTAAAAGGAAGAAATAAATGAAAGTTTTAAAAAATTATTGTATTTTCGTATGAAATATAAATTAATTTCATAAACACCATCTGCTTGCTGTCCGTTTGTACCAAGTCAGAATTTCATATCGTAGAAAATAACAAAAATTAGAAAATACAAAAACCGGAGACGAACAAATTGTGATATAAATGCGCTTTTAACTTATTAGCCGAACTTATTTATAGAGAGGCCAATGACTTGTTTATTCTTGAAAGGTGAGCCTGGCGATGATAAGATCTAATCTGCAAAGATCATAAATTTTAAGTAAATGGAACTTTACATCATGGCTAGGAAGGGAAAGTAAGGCGCTATATAAATTCATGCTGCTGTCTTCACCGGCGTTTCTGGCCTTGTTTACAAACATTATAGCAGTGGGGGTGCTTGCTTTTACTTCGTTTATTGTTATTTTTGAATTTATTTAAAATTTCAAAATGCACTTGCAATCAAAATATGAAAAAATAAATAAATAAATTATTGAAAGGATGTAAATGAAATCTCTTCGAAACTTATCAATTTCATTTGGCAGTATCATTGAATAAATTTTTAGTGGCAAAATAAAGATGAATGCACCTGGTCCTGCTGTTGTTACCACCCGGTTCAAATGCAAGAAAAGCACAGCTGGTAGTGTATGTGCTGCATTGCATGAATTTGCGTGTATTTGCATACCCTCTGTGTGTTGTTGACACTCTTGTGACTAATTGAAAGAATTAAGGAAAAGTATTTATAAAATAATAATTAATTCAAATTAATTCAAATATACATACAAGCAGACTACGTTGAATATTTATTTAGTAATTTATTTTTGACCAACAATTCTATATTGGTCATCGAAACATCGAAAAATCTTATAACGGTACATTATTTGAATAATAATATTTCATGAAATAAAGGAAGATAAAAAATTTAGCAAAGTTTTTTATAAATATTTTTAAATTTTGTATTT